TGTATTAATTTTTATTAGGTCTTTCATGTGCCATTCAGTTGATTTCAAATGGAATCTTTTAAGCGGGAGCAAATGAAAATAAGATTTTCAAAAGTAAAATATAGTACCTTATTTAGGCCTACTAACACATGTTTTCCTTAAAGGTCTTTAATCATCACAGAGTAATTTTCCTAACAGTAAAATACAAAATAAATTGCAGACATTGCCAAACTGCCTGCCTATATTCAGTACCTACCAATTTTTTCCAGCTGTTTGGATACATGCAGAGAGTTTTCCCAAAGTTTACACCTAAAACATTTAGCTAAAATCAAACTATTCAATAGTACAGTAAACTTCTTTTCTTGAGCAGCCACAAAATCTGACAACCCTAAAAAAAAAAAAAAGTTTCCAATATTAAATCTAGTATACTAGTTTACTGGAAAAATATTGAAAATCCACTAATCCTATAACATACATCTTGTAATTCGTGAGCCATTTCTGAAAATCTTTGAGGTATCTTGTGTCAAAGCAAAATCTTGTATGGGAATGCATCCTAGTTGAGCCTGAATAAGACTGAGGCAAAGAAGAAATTTCATTATTTCCTTTTAAAAGTTAACTATCTCATAGTATTCGACATCACTGACTAAAATATTCCTTCTTAACATTTTTCTCTGCCTTGATTTCTGTGATACTACATGATTCTATATCTCGCATAATTATTGTTGCAAGTCAACAATAAAACTTCATTCCTTTTTTTGCAACCCTAAAAGTTTAGTGCTTGTTTTTTTTACTCTTCTTTATTCACTCAATCTCTCTCTCAAAAATCACATTTCTTCTCAAGACTTTCCTTATAATCTCTAGACTGATAAATTCCAAATGCTTATAAAACACTTTCACTTAGACTGTTACTTTAATCTCAACACATCTAAAATTGTTGTCATATTTTCCTCCAATACAGTTCTGTCTTTTGGCTTTATTATTTCTTTTAAAGGTATTATAGAAAAATAATACAATTTGTTTAATCAATAAATAGTTATTAAGTGCTTATTGAGTGCCAGTTATAGTGTTGGATGCTGAGGATTCTGTTCAACATATGGTCTATAGCATATCAGTTGGTTATTTGAAACCAGCATTGTTTGGCTACTAAATTTGAGGTGATGGTTATAAGAGAAGAGAACAGATGCTAGCGTCTATTGTGCCTCCTATATCCCAGGTTCTTCATCTCTTTATTTACCTAATCAGATACTGATAAGCAAATCACCCATGGTTCTAACTAAAATTATTAGACATATTAGACATGTATTACACTCTTGGGGGTCCCTTGATAAGACCAAAACAGCCAGGTGTACAAAGAGAAAGGGTAGAATAATTATATTTCATAGCTTAGTTTTAGCAGAGGATATGTGAAAATAGAAGCAATCAATTCACTATTCAGAATTAGGTATGTATAGCTGAAACTTAGACTGCTTACTTCTTTTAGCTATAGTACATGCTTCTGAAAATCCTGTTAAATCATCTCTTAAGAAATGGTTATAAAGTTACCTGGTTTATATTAACAAAGAAAGAACTGATGGAAAAACGGGATTCTTTTAAATGTTGGATAAATAAAACTCCTCGTGAAGCTATCTAGGTATAATGAATGTGGGGTATGTATAAAATTGCTAGAGTTAAAGTAAGACTTTTGAAGTAATATTTATTTGTATTTAACAGCAATAGGGTTATTGTAAGGATTAAATAAGGTATTGACTCAGTTAGAATTAGGTCCAACCATAACAAGACCATATTGGTTTAAATACAAATGGTTTATTCTCTCATGTTGAAGAAATCCAGAGTTATGCAATCCAGGGCTTGGTATGGTGGCTCCATATCACATCCTATGAGTTCACTGAAAAGTACTAGTTAAAGAAAACAGAGCAGGTGCTCAAAAGGGAAGACCTAGGAATTAAAGCTATGAAAAAATTTTAAAAGGTTTCAATTAAAAGGACAGAAACTTGAAGGATGCAATTCTAAAATTATGAGGATTAACATCTACTTGGAGAAGAATAGCTCTGAAATTCATCAAAAGAATGTATTACCCAATTTAAAGCTAAGTTAATGGAAGCACAGAAATTGCAAATAAAGCGTTCCCAAGAAAACAAGTGTGGAAAGATACCATGATTTACTTTGACTCAATAATTGATGCAACAGAATACACAGGAAAAAACATTGAGAAAATCAAGAGCTCCAGATTCTGTAATAGTTCTAGCTCAGTCTTCCATATAGCAACACAATCTTGGTCAAGTCACAACTTATCTGGGCATTACTTACTTCATTCGTAAAATGAGAGATCTGGGCTATATGATCTCTAAGTTCACTATGATCTCTAAGGATATTTAAATTTTTTAGAGAAATAACAGTTAAGAAAGTTAGTAACTTCTGTGGCACAAACTATAGATCTGTCGATAAGTTGTCTACAACAGTGAGAAGATTGCTTTGTAGACTTCAAGGTATTTGGGACATAAAATTCAATGAGATGTTAGGAAGTATCCCAGTGAAAGAATGATCTCCTCTAGCTAAGCAGAAAAAAGAAAGTCTTTGGCTTATTGGTTTTACTGAGCCACATAAAAAAATCATTTCACCTTAATCTCATCATTTAAATCATAAAGTTCTGACACTAAGACTTAAGTACTCAGAAAACCAAGTACTTAGCATAGCAGAGAAGAGCGTCATTGCATTTGTAACTGCAAACTCGGTAAAAGTCGCTGTAAGTTACAAGTGCAACCTTAGTTTCATTTTTCAATTACTACTCCTCTATACAAACCCCCATTTTGGGCAGAATAGTCAACCACTGGCATATATGCACTCCTTCACTTATGTGTTTGCTTTTACTATTTGTCTTTTCCAGAATGTCACTATCATTCAATAGACATTTATTACATGGGTTTTCATGCTGTCCATTGTTTTTATATGTATGGCTTTCATTCAAGCTAACTTGAAAGCTTCTGCTGATGAGAAGCATAAAAAGCATGCCTTCTTTCTATCATCCACCTTGCCTCAACAGAACACACTCTCAATAAATGTTTGTTGACAAAAAATATTCACAAGTCATCAATCTTAATTAAAGTCCAAGAGTACTAGGAAATTGATTTGATATTTACATTCTGACTCTTTATTTTTATGTAAATATGTTATTTTTTGTACTAAGGAAAACAAATTTAAGATATGCTCTAAAACTAAAAAAATAAACACTTTATAAATATGAATCATGAACTAGTAAACCAGTAGTCAGTATTTTAAGACATTTAAAATTATCTTTACCAATTTACTTTCATTTCTCTTGTTTTAATTCTTCCTTCCATTGGAAATCTATAAATAAAAACACACAGCAAAACTTTTATTATTTATTTTAACTAAATAAAACCTCTTAAAAATTATTTAAAACATATGTAACTTCTGTACCTGATAGTTACTCGATTTGGATCTTTGTTCAAAGTATTCAGTGTTTTCTTTTCATTTATTCTTAACTGTATATCTAGAAATTCCTTGCAGCTTGCTATCATTGTGACCTATAAAATTTCAGCATTTGTTCATTTAAGGAAGTTCATTTTTATTTGTTTCTTCTCATCCTCTTTCTCCAAATTTGTTTTTCATGTTTCCTTATCACAGTTTTATCAATTAATATAAGAGTTAAAAACCTGCTTTATACATTTAGCTGCTGAAAGGATTCATTCATTCACTAACAAATGCTTATAAGCACCTGTTACATGGCAGACATTGTGTTAGACACTGGGACTATCCCAGTAAGACTATAAATATTAACAAGACAGAATTTAAAATATTCAGCTCAGTGTCTACCACATAGTAATAAGCACTCAATAAACATTGCTTTTCTTACTACTACTTCTATCATTATTCATTCTTCTACAGTTTGCAAATCATTACTCCAATTAAGGCTAATTTAGCAATAAAAAGAATGCTTTAGGTATTTTGAAATTTGGATTCTAAAGCCTAGTTCTGCCAGATGACTGGGCAAAGCACTCTCTGTGCTTTGATTTCCCACATATACAAAATGGAGCTAACACTTGTTTTAATTACACACTTGCTGAACTCAAGATCAGATGAGTTAATGTTAATAAAGGTATTTTCTATTCTTGATTTATTCTTAGTTAAGAATAATATTTACATGAAAATACAAACTGTCTACTTTTCATCATTTTTTGTTCATGTGGCTCCTTAATAAGAACTGAAATTCTGTTGTGCAATTTTCAGTATAATACTCTTATCAATCAACTTAGATATTTTAAATAAAAAGGAATAGTTTAAATTTGAAAATAAATAATTTCTTGTATAAATATCTTGTTTTATATTCACTTCCCCAGTAAAGGGAGAAAGGATCAATACAGTTAACCAGGTACCAATGATATGCCTGTTGTTCTGTTTACTGCTGCAGGTGCAAAGTTGCCCCCACTATTGATATTTTAGCATAACCTCTTATTAAATATTATTCCCATTTTCTCCACAATCAGTTCTTTATTTCTGGGCCATCAACAGTACTATTCTATTTCCACTGTAATTGCTACTCTGATCAAAAGATTTAGGGAAAGGTTACAAGTACACAACACACATACTCCAACTCACTGTCCTTCACTCACGGCAAATTTTCGTAATATGTCATGCCACATCATCTTGGAATCTTTCTCACATATTACATTTGGTAGCCACTACCAAGGTAATCGGCATTATCATGTAAGTTGTAAAGTAGCTTCCATACCTACTTTGGATACATATATAAATTTTCTTAGCTCTGATAAGAGATGACAACTGAAAATATTATGTAATATATTCTAAGGAGGAATATTTTCTATATCTCATGATCAAAGGTGTACTGGCGGAAATATAAACATTCTTAGAAATGCTTTGCTTTCTGCTCATTCATTCTTAAATTATATAATATACAAATTAGTTCTTTCTCCAACATTATTTTATACTATATTATTATTATTTATTTCCTACTGAAAATTAATTTACCAGATCTGATAAAGTTTCCTTTCCATTGAGTGTACAAAATTTCTTCACTGTCTCAAATGTAATATAATACCAAGCCATCAATCTTCCTGCCTCTGTAAGAAAAGATGGAAAAATAAAACATTTTCCCCATCAGCTGAAACCTTAACATCTACTCTGCCCCTGTAATAACACCAGGCACAAAAGATACACCAAAAAATGTAAAAGATACAATCTCTGGAACTTATAGGTTGGCTAGGAAGATAATTACATGTGAAATAGCTAGAGGACAAAATTCAGTTAATGAAAATATTTACATACAAACTTAAGTACAGAGGAAATTAAAGCTAAGAGAATAGTCGGTGTGGGATGACCTAGTACAGGTAATGATTCATGAGAAGGGTTTTAAAAGTGACTAATATGCCTTTGCAGAAAGGAAATAAAGCTATTATGATCTTGGGAAAAATCTTATTTATCAAAAGAGTAAAGTTAAAAAGACTATTATTAGAATACTATAATGAGGGATATGGCTTGAAAAACATATGACTTGATAGTGATTATGAGTTCAGGTCAAATTGTCTTGGTCAGAATACTTACTCCTCCACTTATTAAGTAGGTAGGTAATCATGTGCAAGTTACTTTATCAGTTTCTTTTTTTTTTTTTCTTGAGACAGTCTCACTCTCTGGCCTGGGCTAGAGTACCGTGACGTCAGCCTAGCTCACAGCAACCTCAAATTCCTGGGCTCAAGTGATCCTCCTGCCTCAGCCTCCCAGGTAGCTGGGACTATAGGAACATGCCATCATGCCCGGCTAATTTTTTCTATTTTTAGTTGTTTGGCCAATTTCTTTCTATTTTTAGTAGAGACGGGGTCTCGCTCTTGCTCAGGCTGGTCTCAAACTCCTGAGCTCAAATGATCTGCCTGCCTCGGCCTCCCAGAGTGCTAGGATTACAGGCGTGAGCCACCGTACCCGGCCTTTATCAGTTTCTTAATGTATTGTGGGGATAATAAAAGTACTACCTCAGAAGTTTTTTGTGAAGAAGATTAAATGTAATTTAAAAAATAGATATATAGTACATAGCATGGTGCCTAACAGTTAAATGTTGCCTATTTTTATTATTAAAACATTATGAATGATAGACTAGAGAGGCCCTGAAAGAGCCTTGAAATGATATTAAAGGAGTTTAGATTCTGGATTTGATCTGTAACATAACAGAGAACCATTTACAATTCTTGAGCAATATTTCAATTAAACTAGAGTTGGAATATAAGTTGCTTTGGAAATAGAACAGCAAGTTGGTTAAAGGTAGGGGGAGTGGTGGACTGAAGGTAAGTAATTGATGCAATGGAATTCATTTAAGAGGTTAGTGAATTCAATTATAAATTGTCTAAAAACATTCCAAGGAATTTCAAGGAACACACAGAAAACATATGGAAAGAGTAAAGCGGCATGCTACTTCTCAAGGAAAGGACTAACATTTATCTATGTGCTACATGTTTTGCTGAAGACAAAAAGGTTTTTGGCATTCCAGAAAAGTTGTAGGCATCAAGGGCATGGTACAGTAGACAGAACAATCAGGGACAGAGAAGTAGCCAGGCCACTTTAAAGCCACTTTCTAAATTAGCAGCCATGTGAATATGTTCAGCTGAAATGTGGATAATGAAATAGTTCATAAAAGGGAGTTGCTGAGAGAAATATGTGAGATATCAAGAATATGGTTACCAAGGGAACTAGTACATTAACCATTAGTGTATATTTAAAGATGGTCCTCTTACTCTAGATGTTTATAAATTAGTATATCTCCCTGCTAGGGAAAATGAAAGGTTTTAAGAAAAGATTTGATATTTGTTGGCTTATTAGTAGGGATGAAGCTTTCTTAGGTAAGATAGGAAAAAAATAAGACAAAACAAAAAAAACCCTAGAAAGGAAATCATAAAAAAATGAGTCAGAAAAAAATAAAAAATAAAAAAATAAAAAAAAAATGAGTCAAAGCACAAGGAATCAAATGAAATAAAAAAGATTTACAAGTTAAGAGAGAAAATAAAGAAACAATTTGCTATCAATATAACCACTGAATGAAGAATATTTTCATAGTAGGAAATTCGGATATTTCAAAGTAAAGTACATAAAATACAGTAGGGGGAGAGCATGCAGGCCATGAGAATGCACCTTTCAGACCTCCTACTGCAAGAAGTGTCAATGACTGTTGGCCTCAGCTGCTGTGCTCTGAATCCATCACCATATTTATATAGGGATCACACTTTCCTGAGATGCTACCAACCAAGGACTGAACATGGCAAGGATACTAAGGTAGATCTATGAGACAAAGAACTCCCCGGATGGGTGAATTTGGCTTGAAGATGCCCTATCAGCTTTGCCAAATGTTCTTAGGACTTCATTAAAGGCTAAAACTTTCCTTCTTTCTTTCCTTCCTTCCTTTTCTCCCTTTCCTTCAAAGAGGTAAGATCTACAACCCAGTTTAAGGGCTTTCATAGCCTCTTGCAGGTGTCACCTATTTTCAGAAGGTTAATCCTTCTTAAATTCACACTAGAATTTGGCCTTCTGAGCCCTTTTCCCAGTATACACTACCAGGAAAAATAGATAAAAACCTTGCTTTGAATATAAACTTACAGATGAAAATACCTAGATACTTGAGTGTTACAACCATAATCTAAAAAACAAAAACTATACAAAGCAGAATTATTAGAACATACAGAGTAAGAACAGAGTAAAGAACATTATTGGGATGGTTGACGAAATTTACATGTGAACTGAGGACCACATGATAGCATTGTCTTTTTTTTTTTTATTTCATATACAAAACTAAAAGAGACAAAAGAAAATATTAGTAATACAAAGGAACAAGAAGTCATAAAAAGAATTAATTAGAAATACTATGGAAGAACTTGTATCTACATTATTGACAGGCTAAGAAATTATGAACCAATCGTTCTGCTAAAAGCAACTAAAATAGCTAAATGAAATACAAGTATCTTCTATAAAGCATCAAAGAACTAACAAAATATTGGCCAGGTGCGGTGGCTCACGCCTGTAATCCTAGCACTCTGGGAGGCCAAGGCAGGCGGATTGTTTGAGTTCAGGAGTTCGAAACCAGCCTGAGCAAGAGCGAGACCCTGTCTCTACTAAAATTAGAAAGAAATTAATGGGACAACTAAAAATATATAGAAAAAAATTAGCCGGGCATGGTGGCACATGCCTGTAGTCCCAGCTACTCGGGAGGCTGAGGCAGAAGGATTGCTTGAGCCCAGGAGTCTGAGGTTGCTGTGAGCTAGGCTGACGCCACGGCACTCACTCTAGCCCAGGCAAGAGAGTGAGACTCAGTCTCAAAAAAAAAAAAAAGAACTAACAAAATATTTATCTGAAAGATGTCTTAAACCCAAAGAGATAAAATTAAAATACCTAGGTTTTACTCCTAAAAATTGAGGTTTATAAGTTGGGTGGGGTTAATTAATTGCATTTTTAACATAACAGCACCTCAGTTGATTTTGATAGCAAGTAGTCAACCCAACACACTTTAATAAAGTATGTGATAAGGAATATTTTCAGCTCTAAGATTGGATTGTCCTTTTGGTGTTTGATGACTGCATGGATATGAAATGACTGATGAATCAAAGAGAAACCAAAGGTATCAAATATTTTATAGTGATCTTAAGCTTGGCAAAAGTGTTAATGAGAATAATAGACAAATAAAGATATATTTTCCTAGCCTCAGACAAAAGAGAGCAACAACTCCTGTAACGATAAAATGTTTTTATATTCATGATCCCATTTGATCATCACAACAACCCAAAAAGGTAAGTAGGACATGTGTAATAATATATTTCTGTTTCTCAGATGAATAACTTAAAGCTCAATTAGCATAACGTCACAGTCAACAAGTAGTAGAATTGGGACTAAAATCCAGGTATATGGAACTCAAATTCTATGTTCATTCTACTTTATAGTATTCCAGGTCAAACTAACTCTTTTTTTCCCCCCTCCCCATTGTCTTTCAGGGTCAACCCTGGTGTGGCTGGGTTACAGCTGCCATCTATTTTCAGTTTGTACCCAAACCTTTACCCTTCCATAAACCAAGCTCAGATCTGCTCCTCCTCCTCCAGCTGGCCATATGATTTTTGATTTAATATTTTATCTGGGGTGGGCAGGGAGCATTTTCAGAGGTTTATACTTGTACTTCCCCATTGTGATAGCTCTTATCCCAAGCCCTGGGCTACTTCAACATTAATAGGTCAGTAAGATGAGAAAGAACCAGCAAAAGACAGTAAGAAGTCCTGTTTCAAGAAGAGAGTGGTTATCCATTGGTGTGTGGTATCCATTGGATGGCTGTGCCACAGTGTATCCATTCTACTGTTCTTGGACTTTTGAGGCATTTCCAGGTTTGGGCTTTTAAGAATATTGTTGCTCTGAGAAAAGCATATACTTCCCTGGGATTCCTGCCCAAAATGGATAACCTCAGTCTAATCATGAGAAAACACCAGGCAAGCCTAAACTGACAGACATCTACAAAATAATAGGTGTGTCCTCTTCAAAAATGTTGAGGTGATCAAAGACAAAGAAAAGCTGAGAAAATTTTCCAAATTAAGGAGTACTATAAAGATGTGAAAACTGCATGATCCTAGATTGGATTCTGGTCTGGGGAAAAACTATACAGCTATAAAGAACATTATTGGGATGGTTGACGAAATTTACATGTGAACTGAGGACCACATGATAGCATTGTCTTTTTTTTTTTT